CACTCACCTCAGCCTCCCAAAGGCGTGGGATTACAGGCTGAGCCACTGAGTCCGGCTAAAACTTTATTTCTTAAATGCCCTTTTCATGTGGTATTCTCATGGCATTTGCTTGTATGTTCTACTTGAACAAAGAATCTGCCTGAAACTTCACTCTTCTTTTTTTCCCCCCTTGGATTTGTGTCTTATCAATAGTTATTTTATAACATGTGACCATTTTAAGTCAAACTTCTGAAAATAGAATTAATAAGAATCTAGATAAAACTGCTACAAAAGAACAGTTGTAAGATATGGTAATTTTTTTCTAGTTACTATGAGAAGAAAATCCTGAGAGAAGTTGTATAATGTTTTTACTTTAAACCTAAAACTAGATTGGGGGAAAAAAAGGCTTTAAAACAATATTAAATTTTGAAACTTGACTTATAAATAATTCTAATTTGGGTTATATACCATTTCTTTCTCTTTGGATAATTCTAAAAGTAGTGTCACTTTGAAAGCTAAAGTGGGCTTTAAAAAGCTTTGGACAAAAAGTTTATTTCCAAGCCGGGCTCAGTGGCTCAGCCTGTAATCCTGCGCCTTTGGGAGGCTGAGGTGAGTGGAAGCCTGAGCCCGGGGGTTCGAGACCCGCCTGGGCAGCGAGACTTCATCTCTACAATAAATCAAAAAAAATCAGCCGGGCGTGGTAGCACGTGCCTGTAATTCTGGCTCCTTGGAAGGCTGAGGTGGAAGGATCGCCGGAGCCCAGCAGGTTGAGCCTGCGGTGGCTGGGAGCGGCCACTGCACTCCAGTCTGGGCTACAGAGTGAGACTCCAACTCAAAAAAAAAAAAAAGTTTATTTCCAGTTAACCATACTTAAAACTTTATAGAAGTACAATATGTGAGGTAGTATTTTCTGACATTACCCTGCTAAGATTTTGTTGATTATTTAACTGGAAAAATTCAATGCAGGATTTCCTTCAACAGAGTAGTAAAATTTTATATGTAATATGAAGCATTAAATGTCAGGAAAAAATGCAATATAAAGATACAGCTGTATCTTCAGTAAAGGAATTTGCGTTTTCTAACTCTTTACATACGAAGAAACATATAAACACTCTATTTTCTGAACTAATTGAAAGTAAATTGCAGATAACATAACATTTTATCCCTAAGTCTATTAGCACACATCTTCTAAGAGTAAGGAAATTCTTCTACATAATCGCAACACCATCATTACATAAAAACAATAAATAGTAATTTCCTAATATCCTAAAATATCTATAAGATAAATTTATAAATTCAGATTTTTCTTACTGTATTCAAAATATATATAAAATCCAATATACATTGTATTTGGTGGTTATGTCGCTTTAGGTTCTTGTTTTTGTTTTGTATAACATTGAGATTTTAGACAAATGTCAGTTTTTTTGTAGAATATCCCGCATTTTGTATTTTGCCATTGTTGATTCAAAGTGCTTAATAATGTTCAAGTATTCTATATATCTTTACTGATTTTTCTTTCTTAGTTTTTTATTTTATCAATTACTAAGATAAATGTTTTAAAGATTTTTTTCAATTTTTCTATAATAATTATTTGACTCTTTAGATATTTAATTTTATGTTGAAGTTTCCATTTTTTCATCTACAGTATCTGGTATGACTTTCTCTCTATTCTTTAAATCAAATTTATAATAGTTATTTAAAAATTTTTGTTTGCTTATTCTAGCATGTCTTATCTGTTGGTCTGTTTCTTTTGACTATTTTTTCTTTTAATTATGGATCATTTTTTTCCTACTTTATTGTGTGTGTCGATTCTTTTTTTATGCTGGCATTATGTTTAGAAGAGATTGCATAAACTTTATTTTTCTCCAGAGACTTTTGGGTTTTTTCCCCTCTCTGACAGGTAGCTGGGATGAAAGACTGAACATTTTGAAATCACCAGAAGTTGAGCTGGGTTGGAGCTGGATTTTAGATAGCTTCAATTCATTTCTGGTTTCAAATGCTTTGAGTGAGTGAATCCTGTTCTATGTATATTATAGGTTCACCCTGTCACAGAACCTGGGAACCTAACCCTAATCTTTTACTGCTTTTTAGTCCCATATCCAGACTCCTGTGCTGTTGCAGCCTTCAAATACTCATAAATAGACCTATGAGAGGAATCAGGAAGAGAATGGGGCAAATTATCCCTGCATTTAGGTTTCTTAAGGTTCTGATCTGTCACACTTAAGCAACTGTTAAAAATCTCTGCTGGTTTCCCTTTAATCCACAGGGTCCCTCTACCCTGGGACCCACTTGATCCTCAGCTGTTCACATACCATTTCAGCACTTGCCCCTGGTGATATCCCTTCTCACTTTGGAAAGGTTTGTTTTTCTCTGCAATTCAGTTTATTTAGATCCCTTTGCATTCTTATCTCTCTAGATTTATTTTTAATTTATTGTT